CGAAGGCAAGAGACTCTCATAGCCTAGCAACTCTCCCTTGGTACAAAGGAAGTGTGACAATATTCTCTTGACCACAGTTCTTCAGCTTAGCCATTGAGCTAATCTGAAGAAAATGCCCACACAGGACACTTTTAATTTATAATTTTATAATTTATAATTTTGATTATGCTACAGTGTGTGTGATCTTAGTATCCTTACATTTATTACATTCACCTGGAAAGAAGAAACATGGGATTAAGGACTCAAAAGTTGAGATAATAAACATGAAGACATTTCACTGTCTTGAATTTTCCTAAACAGAATTGATCAGAAGTGAAAATCATCATAATGTTTCAGTGTACTATCCCTTTGAGCAGCACAAAATTCAATCATTGTCTTTCCTAAAGTTCTTAAATATAAACACACACTACTATAAATTGTAATCCTTCATCCTGAAGGCATAGTAATCACTCAAGTAGTTTTCAAGTTGCCCTCGATATCTGAAACAGCAAACTGGCATAACATTATATTTATTAAGATGTTAAGCTGGCTTCCTGGAGCTGGAGAGATGGCTCAATGTTAAGACCACTGACTGCTCTTACAGAGGACCGGGTTTGATTTCCAGCACCTACACAGTGGCTAACAATTTCAGTTCCAGGTGATCTGATGCCCTCTTCTGGCCGCTGTGGGCACTGCGTAAGCGTGTACATTGACATACATGCAGGGAAACACCCATACGCATAAAATAACAATCAAAACTTTCAAGAACTGGTTTATCTTTTACATAATAAATGTAAGGTCAAAATAAAAGGTATAACCTGTTCTGTTTTTATTTCTTTATAGAGGATTTTCTTCTTTCATACAATTTATTTTGATTATATTCTTTCCCCTCCGCCACAATCTACCAAATCGTCCCTATCTCCAACCCACTTAATTCATGTATTCTCTCTCTCTCTCTCTCTCTCTCTCTCTCTCTCTCTCTCTCTCTCTCCACACACACACACACACACACACACACACACACACACACCAAATAACAAAACGAAAAGACAAAAACCACCAAACCAAAAGAACAACAAAAATGTACACAAAAAATACAATCTATTTTGTGATGTTCAGCTACTCCTGGTCATGAAGTCCGTCTTGGAGTGTGGTTGACCTACCCAGTGTCACCACATTGGAGAAAACTAATTTTCCCTCTCCAAGCAGGCATCAATTGTAAACAGCCTTTGGGTGAAGGGTGGGGCTTTGTGCCCACTTCTCCTTTTCTGGGCTGGGATTTTTGTCTGGCTTGAATTTATAGAGGACTTGAACATTTCATCACAGTCTTTGTGAGTTCCTATGTGCACAAGTGTAAGATGACTCTTAAAAGATCTTATGAATAAAAACAAACCCGGAGCTAGGTATTGGGGTGAATGCTGAAAGATCAGAGAAACAGAACAGGCCACATCCAACCTCACTTGGCCAACTTCTCAGCTGATCCTGTTTCCTCAGACTAGAAGTCTCTGAGTGCTCATCTGAATGGATCTCAGCTGAAATGCTGCTAAAAGCTAGAAGCTTAAAAAGGCTAAAGTTCCCGGTCTTCATGCTTTATATACCTTTCTGCTTCCTGCCATCATTTCCTAGGATTAAAGGCGCGTGTCTTTCCCAAGCCAGACAAGAGATCTCAAGTGCTGGGATTAAAGGTGTGTGCCACCATGCTTGGCTCTGTTCTCGATGTGGCCTAGAACTCACAGAGATCCTAACGGATCTCTGCCTCCTGAATGCTAGGATTAAAGACATGTGCAACCACTGCCTAACCTCTATGTTTAATATAGTGGTTGTTCTGTTCTGTGACCCCCAGGTAAGTTTATTGGGGTGCACAATATATCAACCACGCACAAGCTCTGTTTTGTCAGGAAGATGCTATTTCCATGGAGTTGGACATTACCTCTGTCTCTTGAAAAGTTTTTCTGTCCCTTCTTCTGCCTAGGTTCTTTAGCCTCAAGGGCAGGGTTTGATAAAGACAATCCATTTAGAGCTAAGAACTTAAAAATCTCGGATTCTCTACACATTGTCCATGTGTGGATCTTTGTAAATTCCTTATATTGCAAGAAAAACTTCTCTGAGGAGGGTTGAGCATTAGGTACTGATCTCTGGGTCTAGCAATATGTTATTAGGACAATACGATGGCATTACTCCAGTGTTGAAGCAACTGATTTCCCTTGTAATGCCTGTTTAAAAAGAACAAATATACTCTCAAAAGATACTTGTGTCTTCTCCCCTCTTTGGCTGTTAGGCTATTGAAAGAATGAACACACACACACACACACACACACACACACACACACACACACACACACACCAGGATCTTGGGGCTGAAGAAATGGAGAGATGACTTAGCAATTAAGTGTTCCTGCTGCTCTTCCAGAGAGGTCCAATTTCATTTCCTACATTAAGTAGCTTCAGATCTAACCAACCCTCTTATGTCTTCTGTAGGCACCCACACAATGTGGCAATACTCATATAAATACATACACATATACATAAACTTTCAAACAAGTCTAAAAATAAACTTAGAACTGAATCTTACAATGTACCTTAGACTAGCTTTAAGCTTACTGTATAGCATAGGCTAGACTGAAAATTCTGCTCTACCTTCCCAAGTACAGACTTACACAAATGCATTAGCAAGTAAAGCCAGTGAATGTGAGCTTCGATGATATTTCTTAAGTGTCTGGATATATATTGTGTATGAAATAGATATAAATAATATTTTCAATAGAGCAGAACTCCCCCCCCCCAAGTTTAAACAGTATAGCAGTATGACTTCTAAGAATAGGTCTTGATAGAAATTATGGTTTCTATTTTTACTACTGGACAGTACTGACAGCTCCTGGCAGCATGAGTCTAGGCTACAGAACTGATGTTCTCCAACTGCATCAGACAACTGCCAGACATGCAGACCAGGCTTTTTTGAACTTTTCCATTTCAGTGGAGATAGATGACAGAGACCAGACAAAAGCAATGCATAGGGACAAAGGGTACTCCGTCATTTATATTGTATAGGAAGATTTTCATGTAGCCATAAGTAGTTAAAATATTTATGTATTGTCTACAGATGTTTTAAAAAAATCTTCAGGCATTGAAATAATATAAAACTCAATTTTTCCCCTTTCTACAAAACAAACACTAAATATAATTTCTCACATGTGGTTGTGCTTTTTACTCTGCCTATTAATACTAAATGTCTTTTTGCTTGATTGAAGTCACAGCTGGTTCTTTTATAGACCATTGCATGACTCAGAAAGAGTCTAAGTCAATAGTTCATAGATAACTTGATGCTGGGAATAATAAGACAATGGTATATATTTATTTTTCTATTTATAAAGACTCAGTGTCTCCACCTAATTATTTTCCCAGAGTATAGATGGAATTCAGATCTTCAGGCTAGAATGAGAAGCGTATCTGATATAGACCATTCACCAAAACAACCTGGTAAATTTCCATGGTAGAAGGAACAATTTGTGCTGACTGTTCTCCAGGAGACAGAATAACATCCTCAAATCACTCTAGGGAAAATACAACTTTTAATTATCTTTCATGAATTTAAATGTCAAGTAGATGTACATAGAGTTGATACTGTACTTTTTGTGAGTACGAAATTGAAAAGGAAAATGAAAAGGTATAATTGCTAATTTTTATTGCTTCTTGTTATTAATAGCAGTCACCAATGGACAATATGGCCAAGTAGATTAAAATCTTCAGCAAAATTTGCAAATGACTCTTTATTGACTGTTAAATTATATATTTATAGTTTTTTATCACCACTGAGTGATATTTTATCATATTCTCTAAAGACCATCTTTCTTTTATTGATATGTGGTTTTATATGTGTGTGTGTTAAAATAGATAAAAATGTTAGCTAGATCAAGACTGTTTACAATAAGTTTACCTAGATATCATTTATAGAAATTTGTGGTAGGTGATCAAAATGGGAATTCTGTATTTCTATTTAAGTCTCCTGCTTTGAACACTGAAAACTCATATGCCTTTTGTTTATTGTTTTAAACAAATCCGTACTTAAATGTATTTATTGGAATTTCTTTGCCAACATAATAATTATTTCCATCCTGACCAACATGCAGGATATTTTGCCATGACATTGACTAACATTTCTTATCAATGCTAAATCATATACAGATTATATTAGTTAACTTCCTGAGGCTGTGATAAAGTACCCTGACCGAGGCAACCCAAGAAGGAAGTTTTCATTTGGGCTTACAATTCCAGAAGAAGAAAGGTCGGTCACAGTGAGGAAATATGGAGGCAGGAAGGCGTGGCACCCAGAACAGGAAGCTGAGTGCTCAAGCGCTCAACCACAGACTCAGTGAGAGTGACCTGGGAGTAACACAAGGCTTTCATCTCACAGCCCAACTCCAGTGATGCTCTTCCTCCACTAATGTCACACCTCTTACACATCCCCAAAGAGCATCACCAACTGAGGACCAAGTGTTCAAATATCTGAGGTTATGGAAGACGTTCTCTTTCAAACTATTCCACAGATAATTAAAAATGGACAACTTTTACTGTGGGGTGATAGATTCATTTTCAAATAGTCCATTTATTAGAAAAAGAGGAGGTCCAAATAAAATTAATTATAACTTTTGAATTTATATTTTTTTATCAAATGTAAACATATGTTGAGTGATTACTATGTGCCAGAAAACACTTGAGTGCCAGATTTATAAGTGAAAAGGGAAATTGTAAACAGGTCATTTAAAGTTAGGACTTTCTAAATTATAGTTTTCAATCCCAGCACCACAGGAAATAACGCAGCGAGAACAGAGACAGCCCCTTCCTTGTAGCACCCTAAGCCACGACTCCTGAAATCATAAAGTGCAACAAGCGACCCCAAACCAGATACATAACACAGGGGACTTAAGTCTCAGCTCAACTCAATGAGCCACATAGGCTAATTCATCTGTGTATGCACATTTCCTAGCGTTTGTTCAGTTCTGTCCATTGTAATGTTGTTACAGGAGAGATGGAAATGGACTAAAAGGACCCCTTCTTTCTAAAACTGTAAGTAAATTCATTTTCCTCTACGTCATTTTGGCTTTCGTTTCTTGTGGTTCCTGTAGGATCCAGATTCAGAAATCCAGTGCCTTCCTTCACTGGCAAAAATCTCTCCTCATGATCTTTGCATGTGATGTTTTATGTTTCCATCATTTTGAAAAATCTGCCTACTCTGGAATTAAGACTTTTAATAATGCAAAATTTTTAGAAAAGTGAAGATAATGTCACAGCTGTGAGACTGTAATGTAAAACCCCACTTACTTTAAAAAATAGCTATCAAGAAAATTAAACTCTTAGAAATTAAGATTTATTTTGAGGACAAAATCCTTCTACATCTATAAGGCATGGAGCAGAATCATCAGTCTCAATTTTTTAAGTAAAAGTTTGCTATTTCTGTAAGAAATGTCACAGGGGTTTTGATCAAGAGTGTATTGAATCTGAAAATTGCTTTTGTAGGCTGTTCATTTTTACAACATTAATTCTACAAATCCATGAGCGTGGGATGTCTTTCTATCTTCTAATGTCTTTCTTAATCTTTTTCTTCAGAGATTTAAATTTTTCATTATAGAGATCATTCACCTCCTCAGTTAGGTATATGCCTAGATACTTATTTATTTTGAAGTTATTGTGGATTTGAGTGTTTCCATGATCTACATCTTCAGCATGCTTGTTATTGGTAAATAGAAACATTATTAATTTTAAAGTTCATTTTGTATTTTTCCACTTTGCTGAAAGTACTAATCATTTCTAGAAGTTTTCTGATGGCGTCTTTGGGACCTTATGTATAATATCATATTATCTACCAATAGAGATAATATGACTTTCTTTTTCTATTTGAATCCCTTTACAAAAATCAGTTGCCTTTCTATACTAATGCATATTAATATCATATACTATTCTAATATATGCACATATATATATTATTAAAATGTATACCATAGTAAAATTATATATGTGAGTTTACTATATTTATATATTTGGATTTATGCCACACAAGTTGATAATGACCCCTCCAAGAGCCATAGATCAAGCTAAATCTCCTGGGTTAGGCATGGAAAATCTCCCTTTGATTTGTCCTCAAGGGGAGTCAAAGAGACTCCTGTAAACAGTAAAGGCTATTATCCTTAGTCTTAGTTGCCTCTCAGAACTTGAAGGTAAGACCTTCTTGCTGAATACAGCCCACACTTTGGCAATAAGACTTGGAGGAAGTGATTTGAAACTGACCTAGAAACTTTCCCACTGAAGTCTCATAGTATCAGAAGGTGCCATGCAAGTTTCCAAGGAAGAAAAAAATCAATAGTCTTACCCAGCTGTAAAGTCATTGACTGGGCAGGCAAAATATCAGTGGTGCCATCGTGATACTTTTACCAAAGGGGTAACTAACAGCTGTATAACTGAACTAAAGGACCATTCAGTAGGAGGGAATTCATATCTGGTACAGTAAATCGAGCGAACTACCCATGAATAGAGAAATCATCGACACTAGAGGAGACTCTGCGACTGCCATTTTCCTAAAAAATATAGTTTCTAACTGTATTCTAAATAATCATCCTTAGACTCATAGACAAATATTGTTCTCATGCATCATCAAAGATGCTTTTGTATTTTGCAGCAGCCAGCAGATCTTATAGAGAATCTCAACTGGTAAAATGCAGAAATTGACTATTGGGCATTTATCCCCAATTGGAACAATGTCAGCACAAACCTAACACTGAAGGCTCTGTGGAAGAGGGGAACAGAAAGATAGTAAGAGCCAGAGGATCAGGATGTGTTCTGTAGGTTGGTGTCTTGTAGATATGTTACGGAAGCTGCATTTGTGAAATATAGCAATATGTTTGCTTAAACAAAACCAGTACAATGATACTATCAACTGACACATCAGCACACACAGAAAATTTTACAAGGTCCCATCCCTAAAGGAAAAGCTGCAAGCAATCAATGGCTTCAAAGAGTGTGAAAATCAGCTTTATCCAGCTATGAGGCCCTTGAAAGGTTATCCAATACCAAGAGATCAGTACTAAAGACATATATGTAGGAGCAACACTAAATTGAATGAGCAAGACACATACACATTGTGACACTATTCCTGGGGAGATGCAATGATACTACCAACCTTAAAGTTGTTAAACCAATGAATTTTTATTAGGACTACTTGTAGGAATGAGGGGGAAGTGTAACTTACAGGAGCAGACATGGCTCACTCCATGGGTGACAGCTCATGGACACCCCGTATGTACTACACAATCTCCAGATAGCACAATAGGTTGGAGAGTGTTCTTGCTTGGCAGCTCAGTTGTTTCGAGCCTCTTCTAAGCAGCTTGGCTAGTTTTTGCTTCCTTCAGGCAGCTCAGCTTATCTGAGAGTCTTCTAGGAAACTTAGCTTGTCTGAGAATGTCCCTCAATGGTTCTTACTGCTTACATATGCTTGGGAAGGGAAGGGCCTGGTGAATATGACCAGTTTCTGGGACGTCTTGAAATCATTGAGTTGTTTACTTCCTGAACCCTTATCACCTCCCCCTGAACATTGTGTGTTTTTAATGAGGTCCCTCCAAGATCTAATGTTTTGATCTTGGAGGAGACTGCTACAAAACACACACACAACCTCCCCCCCCATATATATGTGTATATATAATATATGTAAACATATACATATGCTATTAGATGTATGTATGTGATAATAATAATTATAGAATAGGTCATGAATTTGAAGGGGATTAAAGGAAAGGCCAGAAAGGAGTTGGAAGAAGAGAAAGTACTGAAAATAATATAAATATAGCATTCATATAGGAAAACCTATAAAAGAACAAAAATTAAATAAAAAGATTTTTTAAACTTTCTAAAACATTTTAAAATTTAAAACTTTAAAAAATGCATTTATTATGTAATGCACAGTGTTTGGTAATGTCTATATGAAAACATGTATAAACACAATATATACAAATTGCATATATAGAATTATATTGCTACATGGCACCTGTCCATAGAGTTTTAGAATAACAAAGATAACATTGTTTCTATAGTAAGTAGCAGTTAATGAAAAATGCAAATGGGGAAAATAATCTATGACTTTGTGTGGGAAAAATAATTGTGCCTGCTATGAGCTTACTAGTATACCTTTGCTCATAGTTTTGGTAATATTGTCCACCTTATGGCTCTACACTTTTTCCACCTGATTTGGATATTTAACTTGATAACCATATATAAAAACTTCTGTTCAACTTTAACCAAGCTCCTGAACTTTTCCCCAGATATTTAATCCTTGAATGCATCCTTAAATTTGAATGTTCAATCCTTAAATGTATCCTCTTCAGTTAAAGGAAAACTTCTGTCTTTAAGATCTTGGCATCATATTAAATTCATTGCTTTCTTTACTACCCTATATTTCTGAAATAGAGAATATTTCTTGAAAGCATGTGCACATCTGACTATGATGCTGTCACTTTGAACTGAGCCTTTATGGTTTGTTTACATAAGCATGGTAGTCTTCCCATTGGTCTATGCCTCTTTGAATATGCCACAAGTGCTTTTTAAATGCAAACACTATGCTTTTCAACTGAAAACTACAAGGCTTGTGGGGGTGTTTGTATTTATTTGTTTATTTACATCTCAACTGCAGTTTTCCCTCTACCCTCCGCCCACATCCATCTCTCCCCTCCCCTCTCCTCTTTCCCCACCATCCGTCTACAGTTCATGTCTAACTTTAATGTCTCCCACCCTCCCCATTACTCCTCCTTGTAATGCCAATGGCTCCCCTCCCCAGGCTCTCACCGTAGGGCATTCTCAAATGGCCAATTCTTTTTCCCATGACTTCTGTGGGTTGCACTAAGATGTAACAAAGCAGCCCTAAACTTTTATTTTTGCCTCCCTTTCCCACTCATTTCTCTCACCTTATAGGGACTCATCTTTTTACAACAGTGATATCAATGAACATGTTATGTGGAAGGGGAAAAAACTCACTGGGTCTTATCACTAGACAAAGAACTACAGGCAACTATTGACTGCAGGGAGAAAAAATCCTTTCCCACGGATGATCCTTCTTATTGGTTGTTCAATACACAGTGGTCTGCTTTGGAACAATATATAATCCAGCAACGAATAGGGACTCAACATATTGCAATTATATGTATTGGTGCATACACATACATAGATATGTATATATGTTATATGTATGTATCAATAATGATAAAAGGAAAAGAGGCTATCAACTTGAGAGTGAGAGGGCATGGCAGGGGTTCCAGGGAGAGTAGCTGGGAGGGGCTGGAGGGAGGAAAGGGAAAGGAAAAAGTGATATGGAAAAAATGGATATGGAACCTACAACCTTATAAGCTTCACACACACACACACACACACACACACACACACACACACACACACACGTATTTAAAAGTTTAATTGAGTCACACTTCATAGGGGATAACTCTCTATTGACTCTATTGCTGATGGTTTCCTTGCTGTGCAGAAGGTGGTTACTTTGTCAGAGTCCTGCTTGTCTAATTCTGGTTTTGTTGCCTAGGCTTTTGGGACACATCCAGCAACAGCAACAATACTCTGCTTGGATCATTGTCACTCACTAGCTTCCCAGTTTCCTTTTAGCAGATGTTATTTTCAGACATCAGGTTTTCATCTGGTGAGATACATCGGTGTCATTTTATCCTGTTTGTGGATTTCTAGCTCCCTTGGATGCATTTATCAAAGTATTTTGTTCTCTGTTACTATAGTTACAGTTATTTACTATATAGTTATTATATACCATATAGTCACTATACACTATAGTAACTATGGCAACGTTATTTCCATTGATAATTGAATGCCTTATCTTATATGATTTTGTACCTTTCTTATAAAGACACACATTTTCGGGAGCTTCAAGTATAAAATGGGTTGAATCTGAATAACTGTCTTTTCTCTATCAAGTAGTGAATGCTGTACCAGATTTAAAATATGTTTAAAAGTTTCTTACTCTTATCCAAATTCAGAACTGTGGTGTTTTAAAGTCAGTTTCTTGT